GTAGACCCCTTGCAGCATGCCGGAATGCAGCTCAATTTGGAGGACATAAAAATAGGTTTCCAATAATTTCTGGAGATTGAAATTCTTTTTTCCCCCTCCAAATTGAGCTGCTTTGACGTCATGTGCAAGGGGTCTATTTTCAAAGGAGTTTTTAAATCAACATTTAAATATGAGAGATTTTGAAAAGGATCTTGGTAGTTTAGGTACTAAACATCATTAGGGTTAAGACTCATTACAACCTCCAACGTTTATATTATACATCTTAGAATGTAGTACAAATGTACATGAGACATGAATCATTTGTAGACCTTATTTTACAGTAAAAAAGAACTGTAAACTAGTTGAATATACTTCAGTTTGTTTGTGATTTTTTGGGGATCAAGAATAGTTCATGTTTGTTGACTATCAGGGGAGGATTTTCTGAGGCTTCAGATCAAATTTGTGTGTCCARAAGCATTCAAACATGCAAGATACAGGGCCGTAACCAGAACTTTTACAGGGAGGGAGCACATYGAATAAAATCGGACCATTGATGGTTTTTTTTATTACCATCTCAGTGGCGTAACTAGGGATCTTGCAGGGAGGTGCACAGGCAATAAATTGCAGAAACAAAAAGAAAAAAAAAATAACCAAAAGAAAGCAGAACCAAAACAAAAAGGAGATGGATGAGCGGACCTTAAAAGTTTTTATGAGGGGTGCACATGCACCCTGTGCTCCCCCCTGGTTACGGCCCTGAGATAAAGCCATTCTTCTTGGACAAGGATCTGATGATTTATTGTGGCCTCATCCTCCATTCAATCCATAAACTTTAACCACACAGTTTGTACACTCACCTTGGGTTCTCGTTTGAATTTTACAGACATGGCTTCCCTTACTCCTGTGCAGGGTTCGTGCTACTCCTTAAACTCCTTGAAAACTCCTTGAATTTAATTCACGTTTTCAAGGGCACTTGAAAAGCTCTTGAATTTTACGATTTTAGCAAAACTCCTTGAAAACTCCTTGAATTTTTGCTTTGATCATCACTTGCATGGTTCTGAAATAGATCTAGTCAGAAAGATTGGAAAATCTGARAGTCGGCCATGTGCAACCACTGTGTAAAACCTTAGCATAGTTAGCTGAACATACTCCTTGAATATTCATTTTTGGGTCCTGGTATACTCCTTAAATAGTCCTTGAATTTTAAGTGGTTACCTCGGCACGAACCCTGCCTGCGCTTTGTCAGGTCTTCCTTTTTCTGCAAAACCTTATAGTAGATGATAAATAAATTAAAATTGTTTGGTTTACATCTTTGTYGAAGAGAGCAAGTAATTAATGATAATGACTGAGTGAATGAGTGAAGTCATTAAACCTGTGCAATAGATGTTAGACTAATACACTTTAGTAGACCCTAATTCCATTGTTTTCTTTTGTGTCTATTTGACTATTACACGTTGACTATTAATTTTTATTTCACGGGTTAAATGCCTTCACTCTATCATTTTTGTTGAGGCTTTGCAACATCACGTGCCGGTGCCCATAATACAGCTTGGACAGCCTGTGGTTAGATGGCAGAACAATAAAATCCCTTTGCTCTAGGGAATTCATCCTAGTCCCGTCCAATCCATCCCAGTCACACATTTAATGTATTAGTGATTCTGAATAAGTTGGTTGATGGTAGATGAT